AAGGAAAACGCTGCTAGCAACATGCCAAAGCAGCAGGTGGCGCTATATTCCTATCCGTGTAGAAATGTTGGCCAATCAGAAGCCAGCCTGGGTGGGAAAGAGTAAACAAAGATGGCAAATAGAAGCAGAACTGAGTCCTATGTGTGGAGGCACAGCAAATGTGTAAGCATTTAAACACTGCAAAGTAAAATTAACAGTAATGGTATTTTGTGTAAGTCCACCATTGTAGAAATTCATTTCATCGAAACAATAACGTGGCGCACAGTATGACGTCAAAAAAATGCACACACCTTTGATGCTGCGTTTTCTCCGTTTTTCTCGTCCACGTAAACGCAAGTTTTCAAAAATATCCACCCTGACTGGAGTTTTTAAAAATCTCCGTTTTCAGTGACCGAAAACACCGTTTGCGTGTGGACGAAAGGTGCAAATGCATAGAAAAATCTGTGTTTTCAAAAATACCCGGGTACCTGTGGACGTAGCCTAAGTGAGATAGAAGATTTCTACATTTATTGCAACTGCCAGGCTCAGGAGCATAGCAGTCTGTGTAAGATCTAGGGTTGGGCGATTGGACGAATATATCAACTATAGGCTGAGTCCACTGGCAATTTATTTATTTGCCCATGAGTAAGTTTGCTAATAATGATGGAGCAAATAGAATCAGTCAAAAAAAAATAAAAAAAATATTAAGAGTACTGGTTTAAAAGCACCCTCTGTCATCTGTGAGCAAATGCACCCTCCTGAGAGTGTGCCCAAATGCTTGTTGATGGAGCTGCAGAAGCTGGTGATAGCCTTGTGTGGTGGCGCAAATGAGGGATAACCAGGGAAGGTGACAACGCCACCTGAGAGGAGAGTTACACCCCAGGAAAGATTTTTTATAGCCAGTGTAGATGTTACACTATCTACCAAAGCCCACAGGCTAGTTATTAACAGCAGAGGTGAGGCAGATCAGTTTTACAAATCAAAATTTATTAAGAAAAACTACTAAAAAGCATAGAACTGAAATCAGAGAAGTTCTTAGGGTAGCAGGGCCAAGACTGCAAGACTGTTAATTAAAACAATTAACAAACAATGATTAAAACCACAAGGCTCACTGCCACCCTAGTAAAATAACTCGATAAAGTAACTAAACAAAATAGTTGAGACCGGTGTTCCAGATCTACTGGCGTTTAGATCAACTGGCATTGGTCGAACAGATGTGTGGCAGTCTTGCGTTTCAGGAGCTGCTACCGACAAACCAGCAAAAAAAAAAACGCCAAATGTGTCATCTGTGACACTTGTGAGGTTATCTCAAACACACTCCGTCAGTCTTGATGCTGTTGAACAACAAAATGTTTAAAAATGTGGCGAGTTTACCTGGTGATATCCTCATGCGCAACGCGATCGCGAAAACAGCAAACAAGTAACACCACGCCGATGTTGTTCACAGGACAGCAAGACTAAACGATCGGGAGACCCTAGTCGGGAGACCCTAGTCGTTATCGTTCCCCTTGCACGGTTTATTTCTCCGAATTCAGCGTTTTTGCTTCACAACTAAAGCGAGCAGTTTACTTTGTGTGCACTAACATGGACTCGAGTCAACCAGCCAAGTGCCACAGCCTACAGCCAGATCAACCTGTGACACACATCTGCACCACGTTTGAATTCGTGTCATGCACATTTGTACCTTTCAATTGTGTCTGTTTGTGCGTCATGCAAATAAACCTTTGAAATGAATGAAATGATATCATATATTCCTTATTGGCCTACATTTGTTCAAAATCCCAAATTATATACACAAAGTCATAGAAATCACCACTCCAATTGGTCATCATGATTTTGATATTCTCTTTTTCCATAACAATGAAATACGCCTTGGACAAATATGACACATCAATATTTCGTTAGTGTTGTCACATCACATCCTGTAAGCATCGTTTGTCTGTGTCCTTTCTCTGGAAATGAATATTTCCAGCCAATATAGGCAATCCATCAACATGGCAGGAGAGTTGGTAGTAATATACAGTCTGTATAAGTGTGGTTAATCCAATGAAGATTTGTAAGGAGACGGCAGTTACTTTGAATTCACAGCAGTTACACAGTGATTAGCAATAAACAGCCAGTGAGAGTGAGTGGATTTAAGAAAGTCAGTGACTCAGGTGTGTCGCTTGGTTTGTCATCTGTTTGTGAGACTGGAGGAGACGTAGAAATCTTTTGTTTTAAACCTTAGTTAGGAAGATTCCTGTTTGAAAACAAGCACTTTTTGTGAGAAATGCAAGAAGTACATCTGCAGAAAGCACACAGTTACATTCTGTCCATCATGTGGAAAAAATAGAAAATGTTGAGCACTGAAAAACTGAGAACGTTGGGCAAGTTCAAAAGAAATGTGTTTGTAAGAACGAAAAACCAAATTGTTCCCAAATTAGTTATGGAAAGTCTAACTGTTGTATGTCTGTGTTCTACATGTTTATCTAATGGAAAATAAAGTTGCTATTGTTTTATTGCAGTTTTTGAACAATTCTGAGTGGATTTACACAGTACGGATCTAAATGACCCGCAACAAAATCAATGTCACTTTTTTGTTTTTCAACATAATACAAGGGTTAATTCCCAAAACTTCCATATGATCTTCAATTTGTAGCAGATCCACTATCACACAGCAGCTAGAGCAGTTTCAAATGGAGGTCAGTCCACTACTACCATAGCCTACTACTAGATTAACTTGTGACACATCTACACCTGCTGCTATGATGACAGTGAGTAGAGGCTGAGTGGCTGCACTTACCCCTGGTACATCCAAATCTGCCCACAAACATGTTGACAGATGCAATGCCAGCAATGTGGATTGTAAACACTGAAAACAATCAGTAAGCAAAGACAACAGGGATCACTTTTTTCTGTTTATTTAGCATCCACAACATTTGTAGTCGCCTTCTGCACAGGGGAAGTCCACACACACTGTGTGGTACCACTTTCCACAGAAGGTGCATTCAGTCTGCAAGATTGAATGAGATTGTCTGACTGTTTATTACTAATCACTGTGTAACTGCTGTACATTCACAGTAACTGCCATCTCCTTACAAATGTTTATTAGATTAACCACACTTATACAGACTGTATATAACAACCAACTCTGAAATGTTCGTTTGCAGAGGGAAGACACAGACAGACTATGTTAACGACATGTGATGTTACAACAATAGTGAAATATTAGTGTCATTTCATTCATTTCAAAGGTTTATTTGCATGACGCACAAACAGACACAATTGAAAGGTACAAATGTGCATGAAACGAATTCAAACGTGGTGCAGATGTGTGTCACAGGTTGATCTGGCTGTAGGCTGTGGCACTTGGCCAGAGGTGGCACTGGTTGACTCGACTCCATGTTAGTGCACACAAAGTAAACTGCTCGCTTTAGTTGTGAAGCAAAAACGCTGAATTCGGAGAAACAAACCGTGCAAGGGGAACGATAACGACGACAAGAGTCTCCCGATCGTTTACTCTTGCTGTCCCGTGAACAACATCGGCGTGGTATTACTTGTTTGCTGTTTTCGCGATCGCGTTGCGCATGAGGATATCACCAGGTAAACTCGCCACATTTTTATACATTTTGTTGTTCAACAGCATCAAGACTGACGGAGTGTGTTTGAGACAACCTCACAAGTGTCACGGGTGACACATTTGGCGTTTTTTTTGCTGGTTTGTCAGTAGCAGCTCCTGAAACGCAAGACTGCCACACATCTGTTCGACCAACGCCAGTTGATCTAAACGCCAGTAGATCTGGAACACCGGCCACTTGAGGCAACCTACAGAGAGGAGTGCCCAAGGGTACCACCAATTACTCACCCATGTAGTTCCACAGCAAACCTCACTGTCACTCACACTGAAATCTAAATGGTGCGGTCTACCTATGCCCGGTGTGTACACTCACATGCATCGAGGAGGGGATTCCACCTCATGTGCCTAGCCCCTCAACAAGCGGCCGCACCTCCACTAAAGCAATAAAACAAAGCGTAAAACATTAAACAAATTAGTAAAAGAGATAAATAAAACAAACCCACCCTAAGTTACAGTTCTTTATAAAAGCAAGATTACAATATATAAAACAATTCCAAGTAAAAGACCATAAAACCAAGAGTCAGTCGAGGCCAGTCCATAAACATTTGTAAGGCCACAACAAGACAGAATAAAACTGAACAAGAAAGAACGACACAAAACAAGACAGCACAAAACAGCAGCAGTATGGCACAATCCTGTAACAAAAGAGGGAAACAGTCGTCAAGGTCCACCCTACTATATGCCACATTATGACAAACACAAGAGTCCCTCTTACCATTCTCTAAAGGGCAATACTAAAATGAGCAGCTTTCCTGAGGAGCTCTGCAGTGCTTAAGCTGCCTAATGCTCTCAGCCACCTTGGATGGGAAAAGACTGCCAAATACCTCCATGTGGTAGTGAAGCACAGCTGTTTCTTATAAGGTTGCTAATTATCAGCTGGGAAGGTGGATGTTAGTGCTGCATTCGAGGACATCACGTAAAATCCTACCCCAAAATCTGCTTCACTACACTAGCATACTCAGCCAGATGGTGGACACGTACATGCTCATGCAAGTTAGACGTGTTTGAGTACTTTGCTCGCATTATACATCTGCACAAGGGGCAGACCGTTTTGGTTACATCCTTAGGTTTACATCTGGTAAACCTAAGGATTTTCATCTGGTTTAAAGCCAAAGAAATCCCAACTTGGCAACTTTATATTTCTTTAGTGCTGTCAACGTTAAAGTGCCACCATCACGACTAACGCGTTTAACAATTAACCCATCTGGATCGCAGACTGAGTCAAAACCCCTTAAATGTCTCTCTCAACGCATTTCGAGCAGTTTGTCCAAAGTTTATTCATTCTGCACTCCAGATGGGTTAATCGTGATGACCGCATAAATGTTGACAGCCCTAATTTTTTGGGGAAATTAGTTCGTCCATGTTTGGACTTCATCATGTGCAAATCACTCCATGCTCTGCCAATCAACAAGTCTGCGTATGCGCGAATATATCGCCCATCGTCGATTATTGGACTGACAATTGTCAGTTGGAAAATTTTTACATATGGCCCAACCCTAGTAAGATCCATAAATGTGAAACAAAAAATTAAAACATAGATGTTTTAAGAAGATCTTTATTGTTGTCTTGGTGTCATCAAAAACAAAAAAAGCTCTTTTTTTCTGTTTTTGTGAAGGAAAAACTGACATCCATGAAAACTTGGGTCAACAAATGGATATCGGCACAATCTACAATCAAACATACTTTTTCAGTGAACGCATCCAAACTTCAAGAATCACAGTATGAAATAGACACAGACTCCCTCGAGGATCAAACATCAGCAATTCCAAAGGACAAAAGGGGGACAGAAAGTATAACAGATACAACATCATTACAAAATTCTGTAACATTAGATGATCAGCATCAAAATAAAAAAATAAAAGAACAACAGAAGGAGCATTTTGAATCCAAATATTGTTTTGCAGAAGGCAAAAATGGGGAGCAGGACTTTTGCTTACAGATGCGAACTGAAATTCATGAAGAAGTAGTGCATGATAAAACTGAATTACTGATAATTGTAAGAGAAAGGGAAGAAGTGGAAAAACTGATACGTAACCTAAAGCAGCAAGAGGGGGAAATAAAGGAACAAATAAAGTACACTATTGATAACATGAAAGAAAAAACTCAAGATATAAAAAGGCTCATTTTGGAAATAAATGACCTGCAGAGGGCAGACACTGTAATTACAGTCGGGGAAACTGAAAATGCCCAGGAAGTATTAACTAAGCTGTTGGAAGAAACTGAACAGAGAAAGATTTTGATGGTGAACACCAAAGTTTTCAAAAATGAAATAATGAAATATGAAGTACAAGAGGGGGATGATGCCAAAAAAATAAAACAAGAGTCTAGCTTGATAAGGCTTAATGTTAACAAGCAAAAACTAATTCAGAAATCAGGAGAAGAGATGAAAAAACATGTTGAACACACCGATGAAGATAAAAAGGACAGAGGAGCCGATATACAAAGACTGAGGGCAGAGATTTACAAAACACAAGAGATTATAAGAACGCTAAGAGGAGGACTTGAGAACCTAGCGGAAAAAAATAACATGGACAAATATCAACAGAATGAAGGCAGTGAAATTGAAGGATTGCTAAAAGACATCAAACAGTTTCAAGAGTTTTTGGAAATTGTAAAAACCAAAATAAAGCAAAGTGAAGTACATATGACAGAAGAAATGAGCAATATAAAATCAATGAAAACTGCAGTGAAAAAGAAGAGAAGAGAAGTAGATCAAAGGTTAGAAAATACTTTGAAAGAGAGAGATGGATTAGACATCTTTAAAATAAAAATGCAGAGGCAAACTGAACTGATTCGGCAGAATTTAGAAAAAATGGCAAAAGTTAAGAGCACAGTGGAGAAAATAGCTGCTAAGACCAGAAGGAAAATTGAAGAGATAGAAATTAGTATGAAGGAGACTGAAATAAAACTAAGACAGTTTAAAGACCTTGACTGCATTAACCTTAACTTGACAAAAGGCGCAAAACCAGACATGGAACATGGTATTACACCTAAGCAAAGAACTGCTCTTGAAATTTTCAAGACTGAAATTAAGAAGACAATGGACAATAAAAGAGATAAACTGACAAAAAACAAAATGGACAAAGAAACTGAGGGAACAGAAAGCCTCAAACAAGTTAATGAGAAACTGGAGGAGGTAAAACTTTCATTAGAAAGTCTGGGTCAAAAAAATAAAAAATCAGTTAGTGAGAATGTAAAACAAATAATCAAGAGAGAAGAGACTGAGATGACAGAACAGATCCAAACAGCGATAAAGAATGAGAAAATGGTTAAACAGCTAACTGAAACAGAAATACAGGAGGAACAGGTGAACCATTTGAGGGAGAAAACTGAAAGACACAAACAGGAGCTTGATGACGGAGTACACATGACCAAAAGGCAAATAAGAGAAATGGAGCTGCTGCAATCAGAATTGAAAATAAAGGTAAAAGAATTTGAGCGTTTTTTTAGAAAAAGTATGAGAAAAAAGGAGGAAATTGAAATAATGTGGTATGAAATACAACAAGAAAAGGAAGCATTGAGGACCGAGATCAAAAAGAAAAGAAGAGAATTAGACCAAAGACTGGAGATGACTATGAGAAAAAGGGATGAACTAGAAGTGTTAAGGGTAAAATTGAAACGACAGATGGAAGAGCTGGCTGAGGAGAAGCAGAGAGACCATAATCTGTTCATCCATCTACCCAATGAACATGAAAAACATTTTGGAAGGAAAGATGTGAAAATGTTAATGGAGAAAATAAAAAAACACAGCTTAAAAGTTTCTCAGTATACTATTTACATCCAAGACATAAGAGACAAGTTTAATTTACACATGGGAACAATTAGGACAGAGATGAAAATTCTAGAAAATGTGAATGCTCATTTAGAAAAGGACAGAAAAGGATTCAGAGAAGTTGAGGCTGAAAATAAGAATATAACAAACAAAATGAAGAGGTTAAAATATCAGCTTAATATACTCTTTGGAAGAGTTACCATACAAGACACTGCAGAGATGGATGAAACAATCAACATCTGGGAAAAAATCCAAAGAGAAAAACAGAAGCTTGATATGAGACTAGAAAATATTAAAAGGGAAAGACAAGAGATAGAAGCTCTGGTGGTGGAGCTGGAGATGAAGAAAAGAGAAAACCAACGTGTAATCAAAAGAAGCATTCAAAAAGAACAGAAGATAAAAAGAATATGGGCTACTTTCAAAGAAGAAAGAACTGCCCTCGTGAGAGAAACAAAGCAGAAAAAGGAGGTTGAACAACAACGAGAGGAGATCATCAAACATCAAGGTGAACAAGAAATAAAGCAGAAGTTGCAAAAAGAAAAGAAAAGGATGCAAAGTGAAATTGAAGACATGAGGATGAAAGAAAAAAGGAAGCAAATTCAAAAACAATGGGAACTAATCAAGAAATACTTAGGGGAATATAAAAAGGTAATTAAAAACACTCAATTTATCATTGGAATAATTCAGAATGAAAATAAACACATGCAAGACCAAAAAAATTTCTACATGACCACAAGGAAAGAAACACTGAATATTAAAAGTGAATTAAATAGGCAAAAGGAAATTATACGGTGCACATTAAAAAACATACAACAAGAGCCAAAACATGGGGAACAAGTGGAGACAAAAATCAAGACGGAGCAAGGAAAACATGAAAATGGAAGGAAAAAAATATATGAGAAAGAAAAAGATGCCTTGGATGACTTGAGTGCAGACGAGAGTCAAGACAAAGAAGATCTTGAAAGAGTGAAAGAGTTGTTGAAAAAGAACCAGAAACTTGACATGAGAGGCTGTCAAATCAAAAAAGAAATAGACATATTAAAACAAAAAAATGAAAACATAAAAGAGGAAAGGAAAACAACTGAAATAAAAGAAACTGAAAAAAAAATGAAACTGAAAGATTTCAATAAAATGTTTTGGGGCAAACAAAAAGAAAAACACAGTACTGAGTATCTGACTGTAAAGAAAGAATATGAAAGAGAAACGATTAAGGATGGTATAAAAAGGGTGATCTTACAAGACACAAAAAAAGACTTGATAAAAAAAGAGATCAAAAAATGTAACCAGGAAAAAGAAAAAGTCATCCAGATGAAAACTAGACGTGAGAATAGAAAAGAACTGTTGTTGAAGGTAAGGAGAAACATCAAAGATGAAGAGAAAGAGATGGAAATGAGAGGAGACCAAGTCATGGATGAAATGAAATCGCTAGAGATTCTGAAAGTGAAACTTCAACAACTGAAGGAGGATATAAAAGCCAAAATGGACAGATTACTACAAAATGTTGACAACAGGTCAAGGCTGCAAACAGTGTTGGAAGAAAAACTTGCAACCCAAGACGAACTGAAAGAAAGCATTCGCTGTTTCACTGAAATGTTAGAGAGAGAAAAGGAAGGTGTGAGAAATATCCTTTCAGACATGGTCACCAAGAGAGAATGCACAGAAAATGAATGGAAGCAGCAGTTTGAACTGGACAAACGAGAGCTTGATAAACTGAAAGAAGATCTGAGACACGACAGAGAAGATCTGGAGAGAGAAAGCACAGAAAATGAATGGAAGAAGCAGTTTGAACTGGACAAACGAGAGCTTGATAAAGTGAAAGAAGATCTGAGACACGACAGAGAAGATCTGGAGAGAGAAAGTGAGGTGCTGAATAAAGAGAAAATGGATTTGAAGGTGTTGATGTCTGACATCAAGAAACAATTTGAAATATTGGAAGAAAAGAAACAAAATATAAAAGAAGAACGAGACTCAATGGAAATCATAAAGCTTGAACTGCTCAATAAGATGGAACATGTAAACAAGCTGTTACATGAGACAAATGACGAAAAAGCCAAGATTAAAAATTGTATCCTTCAGGTTCAAATGGAAAAAGAAAGACTTGAAGACATTTTAAGCAAGATTTTCTTAACACATAATGAAGAAAAAGTCAAGGAAGATGACCTCAGAAGACAAACAAAAGAAGTGGAAATCATGAAAAAGGAATTACAGAGTGAAAGAGCAAAAGTGGAGAGTCTGATGAGGAATCTGAAGAAGAAGCAAGAAGAGCTTGAACGTGCAAAGGAAATCATGAGTGAAGAAAAAGAAGAGATGAAAGAGATGAAGACTGACATTGCCAAAGAACGAGAACTGTTGTTGAAGGAAAGGAGAAATATGGAAGAAGAGTGGTCTGAGATGGAAATGAGAGGAGACCAAGTCATGGATGAAATGAAATCACTAGAGATTCTGAAAGTGAAACTTCAACAACTGAAGGAGGATATAAAAGCCAAAATGGAGAGATTACTACAAAATGTTGACAACAGGTCAAGGCTGCAAACAGTGTTGGAAGAAAAACTTGCAACCCAAGACGAACTGAAAGAAAGCATTCGCTGTTTCACTGAAATGTTGGAGAGAGAAAAGGAAGGTGTGAGAAGTATCCTTTCAGACATGGTCACCAAGAGAGAATGCACAGAAAATGAATGGAAGCAGCAGTTTGAACTGGACAAACGAGAGCTTGATAAACTGAAAGAAGATCTGAGACACGACAGAGAAGATCTGGAGAGAGAAAGCACAGAAAATGAATGGAAGAAGCAGTTTGAACTGGACAAACGAGAGCTTGATAAACTGAAAGAAGATCTGAGACACGACAGAGAAGATCTGGAGAGAGAAAGTGAGGTGCTGAATAAAGAGAAAATGGATTTGAAGGTGTTGATGTCTGACATCAAGAAACAATTTGAAATATTGGAAGAAAAGAAACAAAATATAAAAGAAGAAAGAGACTCAATGGAAATCATAAAGCTTGAACTGCTCAATAAGATGGAACATGTAAACAAGCTGTTACATGAGACAAATGACGAAAAAGCCAAGATTAAAAATTGTATCCTTCAGGTTCAAATGGAAAAAGAAAGACTTGAAGACATTTTAAGCAAGATTTTCTTAACACATAATGAAGAAAAAGTCAAGGAAGATGACCTCAGAAGACAAACAAAAGAAGTGGAAATCATGAAAAAGGAATTACAGAGTGAAAGAGCAAAAGTGGAGAGTCTGATGAGGAATCTGAAGAAGAAGCAAGAAGAGCTTGAACGTGCAAAGGAAATCATGAGTGAAGAAAAAGAAGAGATGAAAGAGATGAAGACTGACATTGCCAAAGAACGAGAACTGTTGTTGAAGGAAAGGAGAAATATGGAAGAAGAGTGGTCTGAGATGGAAATGAGAGGAGACCAAGTCATGGATGAAATGAAATCACTAGAGATTCTGAAAGTGAAACTTCAACAACTGAAGGAGGATATAAAAGCCAAAATGGAGAGATTACTACAAAATGTTGACAACAGGTCAAGGCTGCAAACAGTGTTGGAAGAAAAACTTGCAACCCAAGACGAACTGAAAGAAAGCATTCGCTGTTTCACTGAAATGTTGGAGAGAGAAAAGGAAGGTGTGAGAAGTATCCTTTCAGACATGGTCACCAAGAGAGAATGCACAGAAAATGAATGGAAGCAGCAGTTTGAACTGGACAAACGAGAGCTTGATAAACTGAAAGAAGATCTGAGACACGACAGAGAAGATCTGGAGAGAGAAAGCACAGAAAATGAATGGAAGAAGCAGTTTGAACTGGACAAACGAGAGCTTGATAAACTGAAAGAAGATCTGAGACACGACAGAGAAGATCTGGAGAGAGAAAGTGAGGTGCTGAATAAAGAGAAAATGGATCTGAAGGTGTTGATGTCTGACATCAAGAAACAATTTGAAATATTGGAAGAAAAGAAACGAAATATTAAGGAGGAACGAGACTCAATGGAAATCATAAAGCTTGAACTGCTCAATAAGATGGAACATGTAAACAAGCTGTTACATGAGACAAATGACGAAAAAGCCAAGATTAAAAATTGTATCCTTCAGGTTCAAATGGAAAAAGAAAGACTTGAAGACATTTTAAGCAAGATTTTCTTAACACATAATGAAGAAAAAGTCAAGGAAGATGACCTTAGAAGACAAACAAAAGAAGTGGAAATCATGAAAAAGGAATTACAGAGTGAAAGAGCAAAAGTGGAGAGTCTGATGAGGAATCTGAAGAAGAAGCAAGAAGAGCTTGAACGTGCAAAGGAAATCATGAGTGAAGAAAAAGAAGAGATGAAAGAGATGAAGACTGACATTGCCAAAGAACAAGAACTGTTGTTGAAGGAAAGGAGAAATGTGGAAGAAGAGCAGTCTGGGATGGAAATGAGAGGAGACCAAGTCATGGATGAAATGAAATCACTAGAGATTCTGAAAGTGAAACTAATTGCGAGGAAATCCCTGAAAGGTGAACTGTCTGATGTACAACCCAGAGAGGACATCCTCAGTAGTGTTACAATCTCTACAAGAAACCTTATAGGAAAACTAAATAGACTGATTCATCAAGAGTTGTCGACATATATTAAGAGAGTAGAGGGGGAAAATGAAAAAATATTACAAGTGATATCTATATATGAACAAAATTGTGTCAGAATTCATAAGCAGAAAATTAAAATTACTGCAGATTATGACAAGATACAACAACAAAAGAAGCATGTGTTTAAGACAACGTTTGACAAAGCAATCCAAACTGAGGAAGTTGTAAAACAATGCTTACATGAACATCAGGATGAAGAGACCAATGAACATGAATTTAAGCAGAGGATGAAGGATGTTGCAGGTAATCTTGAAGGAAGCAAAAGATACTTGACACCTGACAAGGAAGGTCTGCTGTTAGTAGGAGAAGGTGAAGAATTTGAAACTGTCAAGAAAACAAATCTTGCAACGTTGTCCATCTTGTCAGCAGAGGAAGATGACTTCACACAGAAGGGAACTTTAAAAACTGAGTTTTTGAAACAAATCTGGAAGGACACTAGAATAGAACGAAATGAAATAAATCAGATGAAGCTCAGAGGTCAAAAAATGAGAAACAACATGGATAAAAGAGTAAAGGTGATCAATCATTTTGTTAGGAGATCAATATTTCAGAAAGAAAAGACATCTGTTGAGAAAACAAGAAAAATGTTGGAACATGGGCAAAGTAATACGTTTTTATCTGTAAGTGGCAGGGATGGAGAACACAAATCACTTGATGAAAAATATACCGAGCTCCAACAACTTAAGGTCCGCATGCTTAGTGAGATTGAGAAATTCTACATACAAAACAAAGCGTCTAAGACACTGACAACTAGCAACAAAGCTAATCAAACAGTTCAACTAGATTCTCCAAATATCTATCAAGAGCAAATAAAGGTAGAAGAATCTGAAGCAGCACCAGAGAGATCTCCTGGACTCCTCAGTCAGCTCAGACTTTCCTGTTATCGCTGTTGCTCCCGTTATTGTGCCTACTGCAAGCAAGGATGTCCAAAGAAAAAATGAGAGGCAAGAAAAGTGCTACATAAAAATCAGTCCATTTACCTTTTGTTTTACTTTTTAGTTATATTAATATGTGTGTATTTGGAAAATGTGTTTTTCCCGTTAATCATATTAACCTAACAACGTAAGAGTACCAGTCTGATGTCAATCATCTAATTTTTAAACAACTAGTTATGTAATGTAAAAGTATTCCTTTAACATGTTATTTTTTTCACAAATGCAAAATATTAAAGTTTAACACATAATCTTAACATTTCTAATTACATTTTTATGCTGTTTTCTAATTAATCTTCTTTCAACATATTTATTCTGTTGTCTTGTGTTAGAATACAGAAGCACAAAGAATACAGTAATATCAAAGCTAACAAGAATATTTGAAAACTGTGACTCCATATATATTCATATCTAAATGAAAGAAAAATGCATGTTTAACATAAATTTGATCCCTAAATAAATCTTTTTCCAAAACCATTCACATCACTGCAATATTTTTCTTTTGGTAAATTTTGAAATATATAAGAACCCAATTGTTTGAAACATTATTTAAATTAATTACACAGTTAATTGTAAATTGAACCATTAAATATAAAACTCATGCCATCTAATTATCTTCATTGGGGTATATCATGTACACATACATATATATATATATATTTATATGTCATATATAAACCCTTTGTCACGGCTG